GGCACAATTGTTGTACACATAAAACTGAGATTTTTCCCAAATTCTGGAGACGATACATTAATTATATCAAAAGTTATTAACAATTAAAGAAAAATGATAAAAAATTTTCAAACAGCTTTAATCTAAATAACTAATAAAGATACCGAATCGGAGTTTTCCCAAATTATTCCCAAATTCCTGAGGATTTTTGCAATCGAAATCAATCATAAAATTCAAGGGCCCGACATATCGGAAAGTGTAGCCTGAATCAAAAGAAGACGCCTCAGCGTAAGACCACGAAGACGTCCTGCTGTCGTTGCGACGTACACTGAGGCATCTTCTTTTGATTAGGGCTACGCTTTCCGATATGTCGGGCCCTTGAATTTTATGATTGATTTCGATAGCAAAAACCCTCAGGAATACGTAGGAGCAAGAATTTTTCAAAAAAAAATATACTTTTTGAGATATTAGCAATTGTTTAAACAAAAAGTTAATAACTTTCGAAAAAAAATTTTTATTGTTTATTGTTGTAATTATTTCGAAAGTTCAAGGTATTATAAGTAATTTGGGAAAACTCCGATTCGGTATCTTTATTAGTTTTTTAGATTAAAGCTAAAAGTAAGTACCTTTCGACCGTGAGTCCGCTGGAGCGCTACCGCAGCCTTACGCCGAGGCGTCTTCTTTTGATTAGGGCTACGCTTTCCGATATGTCGGGCCCTTGAATTTTATGATTGATTTCGATAGCAAAAATCCTCAGGAATACGTAGGAGCAAGAATTTTTCAAAAAAAAAATATACTTTTTGAGATATTAGCAATTGTTTAAACAAAAAGTTAATAACTTTCGAAAAAAAATTTTTATTGTTTATTGTTGTAACTATTTCGAAATTTTAAGGCATTATAAGTATTTTGAAAAAAATTTGACTTCGATATCTTTATTAGTTTTTAAAATATAGCTGTTTGAAAATTTTTTATCATTTTTCTTTAATTGTTAATAACTTTTGATAGAATTAATGTATCGTCTCCAATATTTGGGAAAAATCTCAGTTTTATGTGTACAACAATTGTGCCAAATTAAAAAAAAATCCGTAACCTAAGGGTTACAAGTCAATCGAAATAGCCTAGAATTACCCATATATGATTTACTTCTAAAAACTATCAAGTTTCAAAAGCTATTATCATAGCAGTACATTTCCAAAAAAGGGTATAATTTTATAGAGACTGGCGCTACTAAAATTTATAAACATTTCACCATATTACAAGAGTTGATTTTTACAAAGTGAACTAAACAAATTGTCAGTTTTTGAAAAATACATAATACGAGAACAAGGACAAGGATACATCTGAGAGTTCCAAACATGACTTATAATCGAATGTAGAAAAATGTATCAGATCTTTATTCTGAGGGGAATCTCCGAGATCGAGAAATACACCATGGATATTAGTTTGATAACACTTTCTTAATTGAAATTACCATTAGATTAATAAGATTTAGAGAAATGGATACTTCAAAATATGTACATATTTACTCTGTCTATATATCAGAGAGATGAATACTTCGCAACAAAATTAACGCACAACTTACTTCGGATGAAAAATTGCTCATTTCCAAATGTTAATATCCCGGGTAAAAAAGAATGTAAGAAGATCAAGTTTTTTTTTTAAACGAAAAAAAAATCTCTACTTTGAGATATTGATGCAGGTTTTTCGATTCAGTGTAACTTTAACTCTTAACTTTTGCGACTTTAAAATTCAAGCTCATTTTCAAACTTCAAAATTTATAAAATTTCGTAATGCACCTGTGCGTAGGTAAATTTTTCCAAATAATTCAGATCATTATACCTTAAAGTACAACTTTTTATCTTATTATTGGACTGTAACGGAGAATTCCGGCAGTACCCGTCTGGATTGTTCGCGACCGTCCGCACAAATTATTTATTCGGGGATTCGGGAAGCAAAAGACATACCCACGACTGAATATCGTGTCGAGCATAACTACGTTAAACGCACAGATTCAAGATCGGGATGTGGAGTGATACAGTGGCGAATAAACACAACAGCGGATTAACACAGTAGTCGATTAATTGTCAACAATCGATTACAATATGGCGACCTCGGACTTATACACTACGAGCGGCACAATAACAAACGCGAACGCGAAGGTGAATCGGTGGCTGGTCAGCCTGCCGATTCCTTTGTGAAAACTGAATGTTATAATATATGCCGGACAAACACTTTCCGCCGATAAACTACCAACGGATAAACTGCCAGCAGGTCTGCCGTGCTACCAGCCATAAGCTGGCGCCCAAACATGTAAGAGAGAGAGAGAAACAAGAGGAAAAACGCGGCACCGACCTCGACCTTCAGCCTCTCTGACGGCTAGAGCGCTCCGCAGTATGACGTCACTGGTGTGCTCCTCGCTGACCGTCTTACTGATGTTTGTTGTCGTAGCTGTTTGTCTTCTTACTCGTCCTCTCACTCGCTCCACAATATTATTGCCCCAATCCGTTGTTTCGCTCGATGATTGCTGTTGTCGTCGTCTTCGTTGCACCTCTGTTGCTCGGTACTGCAGCACGTCAAAACTGCACGCACGCGCATCGGGACACGGCTGTGTGCGACCCAGCCTCACACTTAAATACTCGTCCGTGCACCGGGCGTGTTTCCGAAAACGAAACGACGTCGACGAGGTCGCGGGGCCAACTTCGGAAAACCGTCACCTTCGGTTTTATCCGCGCGTGCGACTTCCTCTGCTCCTAGCTTAGCAGAGAGTCCCCGAATTTTCCGTGGCGATCCGCAATTCGAGCGCTCTCTCTCTCTCTCTCTCTCTCTCTCTCTCTCTCTATATCTCTCTTATTCTGCGCCATCTGCATCGCTCCAGTCGTCAGCTCGACCCGTGTTCAGCACCTCGTAAACAAAAGATCCAAGCATGAGTGTGTGTACCAAACGCACAAACTCTCAGCCTGGCGCGGCGCACGGACATTTGCGAGAGCCAAACAGACGAGATCGGCCTAGCCGAAATTCTCCGTTACAGGACAAAAGATTTCACTTATTACGATTTTTTACGACTTGGTAGCGTTTTAAAAGCTTTTTTTTGAAGATTAGACAATCCGTATATCACCTAAACGAGTATGATCATTGACTTTAGCGTTACTCAATAGGCACTACGAGGAAGTAGTCAGATAGATTTAGCTTATTATATGTGTTACTAGGTTATTAGCTTATTGGAAAAAACAAATTTAAAAAATTTTTAATCATTATTATTTTGTAATTTTTATTTTCTATTATGTTATGTTTTTAAACTGTACAAATTTACGAAATTATTTATTGTTTGCTAGTATTGTCAGATAACAGTAACATAAAAAAAAATCATCTCTGACCGTATTGATTTTATCACCATCATTTTATCATTCTACCAAAACACTGTTATGCATAATTGTAAAATTTTTCTGATTAAGGTTACGGATTTTATGGCAGTATCTGTAACTTTTCTAATATATAACTGTTCAAGTCAATTTTTTGATGCAATAAAAATGCCTTCGTTAGATGAAATTCGTTCTTCACAATTTGTTGCTATTTCAAAAGCTGTATTTCGCCTGTTTGATATTGATACTCGAATACAAATCTGGCGTCAGAGGACGGATCATTTCGATCCAAACCATGTCCAACCGACTAGGATTTTTTTATTTGCATATTTTTCTCAAATTTTGGAGCCTCATATTCTTCTAATAAATCGCCGCATAGACTCAATTATGACTTCATAGAAGATAATAGACCAACTCATTCTGCAAGAATTAGTCAGACTTATATTCGAGAAAACCACATTAAGGTATTGCCGCATCCATCCAACAGTCCAGTTCTCAATCCAATTGAACATGTACGTATAGGTCATGGTAGATGACGTTTGTATATTAGAAAAAGATAGTTCGCAAATCTTGAAGAACTAGGGATAGCTTAGAATAAAATTTAGGACGAGATACCCCACGATAGATTAAGAGCTTGTATCAATATGCCGATAAGATTAGTCAAGATTATTCAACGCTAAGGCGGCTACACTAGATATTAGATTTTTTTTAATAATCGGACCTTTTAAGGGTCACTCCATCCACCCATACAAATACGTATGGATACACACACATGATAACTCAGTCCAACCGACTACCTCCTCGTGGTGGTTATCGGGTAACGCTAAGTAATGTTCGTTTAGCTCGGATATGAATTTGCCTATTTCCAAAAAAGCGCTTTTGAAGATATTGTTTAAAATGCTGCCAAGTCGTCAAAAAAATCGTAAAAATGAAATATTCTGTAAAATTATAGGAAATCAGTTTTACTATAAGGTACAGTGATCAGAATTATCACGAAAAAATAATGTACGCCTGGATACATTGCAAAATTTTACAAATTTTGAGGTTTAAAAATGATCTTGAATTTTAAGGTCGCATAAATTAAGGTTGCGTTGTATTGAAAAACTAGTACCAATATTTTAAAGTAGAGACATTTTCCTTTCATTAAAAAAAACTAGATCCCCTGAAAACCTTTTTCACCTGAGATATCAACCTTCGGAAATGAGTAATTTTTTATCGGAAGTAGGATGTGCGTTAATTTTGTTACGACGTGTATAAGTCGACAAAAAATCATTGACAAGATGTATAACATGATGATCATATTTATTGAATAAAATTAAACCATTTTTAGAAGAAAATTTAGAAGTTAGAATGACTTCTTCAAAGAGTGATATAAATATCACACTTAAATTATTAAACATGGATCAACAGCTTTCTTTCATTTGAAAAGAGAATGAAAATCTTCTAAACAAAAGTTAATTAACATCAATAAATATATAAAACGAAGCCATAAGCTAATGATGAACAGCGTTTTTTATGAGAATGCTGTACCTTTTTACGTATAACTTTTAAAAATTATTATTAATTATGAAAAATTATTCTTGATTTTACAAGTATTAAGATTCAAAATTTTGATAACGTCTACATGTAAATGGAATAATAAATAAGCACGCATGTATTTACCTTTGTTGGACTCTGTGGTTCCTTTGATTGTAATGCACTCAAGGACTGACATCTTCGTTTATTTATATGCGTTTCATTATCTATTAATGTTGCAGTCTCAGATTCAAAAACGTCATCATCCTCTTCTTCTTGTATCTTTGCGTTAGATTTACTTATGTGTTCTTCTACTACAGTATTTTTCAAAGTCATGGATATCGGCGGGGCACTCAGTGGTGGACTTAGAGATGGTGGATGAATACATGAGCTTGATTTCTCAGGAATTCTGTGCCAATGGAAATCTGTAAAATTTAAATGAAAATTATACACTGAAAATATTTTTTTAAATATTGGAAGTATATTTTGTATGATTTAAACTATTTCGAAGTCCATACAATTTAATTGAAGTTTCAAATCTCAAAATTACGAACAAAAGGCATTATGTAAATTAAATAAGAAGTTGAACCGTTGTAGGACTGATTATAGAAACAACTTTAGAAAAAGAATCCGACTTCAATTTATATTAAAAACTATAATACACTACAAAAACAAACGAATTAAATCTCTCTCTCTCTCTCTCTCTCTCTCTCTCTCTCTCTCTCTCTCTCTCATTTGAGGTGGGGCGAACGAGGCGAATGATGGAGCTAAAAGTGGCTGACAAAGAGAAGAAGATGATAAAGATTGAGGCAAGCTCGAACGCAGGACAGATAGAGATATTTATAGATACTTATTTAGAGTTACAGTTACAAAACTGTAACTCTCAAGAACTCGGTTGTAACGGTTGGAGCATCGATCCACGCACGTTATTCATCAACAGTTTTCGATTGTTTCCGTTTTCGTTTGTTTTCTGGTACACCTCTATCCCCAAAAAGGATATTATTTTTTTGTGGATATATGTCCGATATACGAATGCGTTAAGCATTCATGACTGTGTTTGATGACTAGGTAGAACTCCGTCGATCGCAGAAACCGGAACCGGTGCATTTAGGTGATAACCGGGGCTTACATGGACAAGGTCAGCGGTCATTTCATAGCAATATCAACAGCAATGACAACAATCGTAACAGCAAATAGTAAAGACAGAGACGCGAAGCACAAGTTAGTTTCATGTATTTTCTCTCTCTCTATTTCTCACACATACACACACAACACACGCACACATTTATGGTGTAACATTAATTGAGTATGACTATGTTTAAATCCGTCTAGATCCTCATCCTGACGTAAGTGCCGTGTGCGATCAGTATCTACGCCCAGGACATTATTTAATCGTTGAAGCGTTCGCGTCTCCCGAAAACATTCCTTTCAAATATTGCATTATGCGACGGAGATCTCATATCAATTTTTTTATTTTTCTTCTTTATCTTTTGGATTTTCGAAGCGTTTTGCTGTTGGCAAAAATTTTCGCACATAGTTTTTTTTTGGCCACGCCTTGTCACTAAGTAGATACGAAGGTAAAAATTCAAAAAAAACAGCTTTTTTCTATTCCTACATGAGACTGTAAAAGAATGCGGAGAAAGAGAGAGAGAGATTGCATGTGAATCAAATAGCGCTCGACGAGTTTTCAATGATGCGTAGAAAAAGCATATTATCTACTATATGAGGTGTGTTCAAAAAGTAAGGTGAATTTGTATTTTTAAGAAAAAATATTTATTTATTTATCAATATTTATGTTGTCCCCTTCAAAGTAATCCCCCGCAGATACAATACACTTATGCCAACGGTTTTTCCAATCCTCAAAGCACTTCTCATAAGCACTTTTCGGTATAGCCTTGAGCTCTTCCAGCGATGCAGTCTTTATCTCTTCAATCGTTGCAAATCTCTGTCCTTTCATAGTCTCTTTAGTTTTGGGAACAAGAAAAAGTCACATGGGGCCAAATCCGGTGAAAATGGTGGCTGAGGCATGATTGTGGTGTTGTTTTTGGCCAAAAAATTTCTCACAAGCAAAGATGAGTGAGCAGGGGCATTATCGTGATGCAAAAGCCATGAATTGTTTTTCCACAATTCTGGGCGGTTTCTTCGTATTGCTTCTCGCAAACGGGGCATAACTTCAAGATAATACTGTTTATTGACCGTACGTCCATATGGTAAGAACTCCTGATGCACCACGCCATTGTAATCGAACAAAACAGTGCGCAAAACTTTGACATTTGATCGAACTTGGCGTGCTTTTTTCGGTCTTGGCTCATCTGGGCTCTTCCATTGGGACGATTGGACTTTGGTTTCGATATTGTGACAGGGCTGATAGTGATGTTCGCTAGCCCTGTGTGCGGCACTCTCCTCGCACGGATGTAGCGGCCGAGCGTGGCTATGGTTGACATAGCATTCACGCGCTCGTGTCGTTGCAGGGCCTGGAGAGGGGAGAGCGCGACTGACGGAGAAGACAGTGCGAGAAGGAGCGAGAGCGCGAAGAGCGTGAGAGAGAGCGAGAGAGGAAGAAGAATGGACGGGAACGCGGAAAGCGCGGCTCGCGCCGCGAGAATTATGAGAGCGGGAGAGATTGAGGACAGTTGGTGAGAGGAACCCCGAGGACGAGAGAAGGCTTTGTGTGGCAAGTCTCCGGCTGCTGTTTGGGCAGCCCCCGGCGATCATCATAAGGCGATCGAGGAGCCGATCCCGGCTGCCAGCTGCCAACCAGCCGCCGCCGGTGATCCGACGAGCCCCGCTGCCAGCCGGACTGCGATTTCGCCGTCGTCGGCTTTCCACCAGCGAGCCGCGGGAGGAGCCACCCGGTGGGTTTGTTGCCTCACTATTTCGCGGATCTCTCTCTCACGTACCAGCTCTCGCCCGGTACAACGCCGCGAATTGAGTTGTCGCGGTTATTAGTTGAGCGAATCCGCTCCTAAATATTATACATTTGTCGCGTATAATAGTTGAGCGATCACGCTCCTAATCGCCGCCTGCTGTCGCGTTCTGGGGATTGAGCGAGCGCGCGTTTGTAAGAAACCGTAGCTGTAACTTTTGTTGGCGTAAATAAAAGGGATCGCCTCTTTGTACTCATTTCGATTCTGTCTGTTCACCTTTCCCGTCATCGCGGTAGGTTTGCTCCTGTGGAAGTCAGCGCCGGCTTCCTTCATTGGAAAAGGACCCGTTAATAACTCGCAGGGGGCATAGCAGTGGCGCACTTAGCTATGTTTCGAGGATAATTCCCCCCCATTGCATGGCATCCCTTGTGTTCTTTCGGCGGGAGAATCTTTCGCATCGCTTTGTTTGACGGGAGGTGAAGGTGATCGCGACTGCGGTTGGGAAAATCGCGTTTTCATTGTGTTAGAGGCGGTGCGGTATTTTGGTCGACTTGTGCGTTTTCGGTCAGTTCGCTGAGCTGTGGGTAAGTACCGGTGAGACGCTGAGAGAGGCAAGGATTGTATTTTGAAAGTAAAATTTCTTTGTTGCTATGTCGTCAACACGCTAGGCTTGAGTTACGCCAGAGTCCGAACGTTCCAAGAAGGGCAACAGCGAGAGCCGCTTTGTTTACATTGCGCGATTAGCGCTGGTAATTTGCAATTTAGCCTGGAGTTCGGGGCGACGAGGCGAGCCTGATGTTTTGGCTAATGTGCGTGATTGGTTTGTAATGTTTGTTGTGTGATTGAAGCGTGTGATTGGTATCATCACTTCTGGCTGTTTGAATTTAAGTTTGTAGGGATTAAGCGATTAAGACTTTGTGTTGCGTGTTCGCACCAAAGTCATCGCTGTTAAGAGACTTAGCGCGCGCACGGATAACTGTTGCGAGTCGCAGAGCAATTCTTAGCGGGTCTGTTTGTTTACGCCGGACTAGGTGTGTAAGACGATGCCTCTGGCAAGGTCGCCGAAACGGCCGAAGCCAGGGGAGTCGCGCGCGCGACCGGAAACCTTTAGGCGACGAGTTATGAGAACGCCGGAGATAAAGGAACTATGGGAACGCGTGCGCGAGACACGCTTAAGCGACCTGCTAGTATGGATGGCGGCCCAGAGTCTCGCGACGGAAGGGACAACAGCGACCGTGCAGGATAGGGCATTTCGCGTATTTCTATTTAGTGCGCGCCACGAATCGGAGCAGAGTAAAAGCAGAGGTACACGGTAAAAGCAGAGGACTACGTAGCGGGTGAAATCCCGACTACCGTTGACGCGACACTCGCGTCAGCGGCGCGGGATGGCGCGTTGTTGGAAGCTTGGGAGGCGGCGGTGCGCGCAGCGGTGATCGCGCGGCGGACGATGGGCGAGCACTCACAACGCGGCGACGCGGAGCCGTCGGAAACGCGTATTCGCGTAACCGACGGTATCACTGCGAATGAGAAGCCGCTGGGAACAAATGTGAGGTCGGCGCTGAGTCGGTCGGCACCGGTGGGCCACGCGCGACCAGAGGGTCTCGCCGACGGACAGACCGAGGCGGCGCGGGTGCGCGGACAGCAGCGACCGACGAGCTTTCATGGGCAGGAGCCGTCGATATGGCGGCGCGCGGTTAGCTTAATTGGCCAGTGCGAGGGGCATTGCCGGCGTCCGAAGCGCGAAACATCGAGGGCCAGGGCGAGATGAATAATGTACTGAAGTATGAGGGGGCGCGCGGCCGAAAAGACACCAGTACACCGGCGCGTGGAACGCTCAACGCGAGGCCCGTGGCGAGGCGCGAGTCTGCGCGGATGACCACCCGGGCGCGCGAGAATGAGCGCCTGGCACCGATGGGAAATGCCGCGATGAAAATGCGTCAGTACAAAGACGAGGAGGAGGAGTCAGAGCAGTCAGAGTCCGACGAAGCGAGTTATGACTCAGCGCTCGAGGACGATGAGGCGTGGAAGTATGACTCCGATGACGATAGGTGCGTAAGAAGGCCAAAAGCTCGTTATATCGATGGCCGGCCGGCAGACGCGGTGTCAGCGTTGAAAAACTGGTCGGTGGTATTCACTAAAAAGGGCGGGTTGACGGCGGAACAATTCCTCCAGCGACTGCACGAAGTGCAATCTTTTTATAGATTTCGCGACGTGGAGATGTTGTCGGCTTTGATGACCGCGTTCGTAAGCTCGGAAATGATGCTCTGGTGGGAGACAAATCGTCCGAGTTGGCGAACGCTGCGCGAATTTAAGGATGAGTTTCGACGACAGTTTTGCCCGTGACGCTCGCGCGAGGACGTATATGACGCGCTGCGCCGCCGTACTCAAGGCGAGGGTGAGCGGCTGGGCCAGTATCTTATGGCTTTTCTGTATATCGCGGGTAGGCTGGAGCCGGGACTCTCGGAGCGGCGACAGCTCGAGCTGATAAAGGTTAATCTATATCCGACGCTGCGGAAGTTTATCAGGTCGAAGATGGTCAAAACGTTGGCAGAGCTGCG